ATTGGCTTGAGGGGGGGGGGTGACGGGTGATGAAGTGACGTCACGCGGCTCGCTCATTGGCTTGAGGGGGGGGGTGACGGGGTGATGAAGTGACGTCACGCGGGCTCGCTCATTGGCTTGAGGGGGGGGGTGACGGGTGATGAAGTGACGTCACGCGGCTCGCTCATTGGCTTGAGGGGGGGGGGTGACGGGTGATGAAGTGACGTCACGCGGCTCGCTCATTGGCTTGAGGGGGGGGGTGACGGTGATGAAGTGACGTCACGTGCTCGCTCATTGGCTTGAGGGGGGGGGGTGACGGGTGATGAAGTGACGTCACGCGGCTCGCTCATTGGCTTGAGGGGGGGGGGGTGACGGGTGATGAAGTGACGTCACGCGGCTCGCTCATTGGCTTGAGGGGGGGGTGACGGGTGATGAAGTGAGCGTCAGCGTGACTCGCTCATTGGCTTGAGGGGGGGTGACGGGTGATGAAGTGACGTCACGTGGCTCGCTCATTGGCTTGAGTGGGGGGGGTGACGGGTGGATGAAGTGACGTCACGCGGCTCGCTCATTGGCTTGAGGGGGGGGGTGGACGGGGTGATGAAGTGACGTCACGCGGACTCGCTCATTGGCTTGAGGGGGGGGTGCGGGTGATGAAAGTGACGTCACGTGACTCGCTCATTGGCTTGAGGGGGGGGGTGACGGGTGATGAAGTGACGTCACGCGGCTCGCTCATTGGCTTGAGGGGGGGGTGGTGACGGGGGTGATGAAGTGACGTCACTACGGAATCTCTTGAAGGAATGCGGGTGGGGGGGGGGGGGGTATCGATTTAAAACTTTCGTGACTGCAGGGATTCATCTCTTGGTTCTTTCGGTAAAGTCGCGTAGAATGGAAATAAAAAAAAACATAATTGTATTATGTAAATTTGTTATTATTTATTACTAAAATAACAAAAATAAAACATAATTGTATTATGTTAAAATATTATTATTTTATTAATCCCATAAATAAATACAAATATCACATAATAAAATAATAACATTATGTTTTATATTTATTATTTTTTCATTTCCATTCTCCGTGACTTTACCGAAAGAACCAAGAAAATGCGGGGGGAGTGTTTGGTGACGTCACTCCGTTAAGAGCTCAAGTTGATACGTGGTGACGTCACTACGTAAGCTCTTGACGGGGGGTGCGGTGACGTTTTCAAGGACAGTGCACAACATGATCAGAGTTGTGTGTTTTGTTTGTATTACGACTGCAGGTATTGTGGTCTATGCAAACATGACTCCTTGTAAAATGGTGTCAGTGTTGTTGCCAGATAGAAGGGTAAATAAACAATTATGATTCTGTGTCATGCAGTAGATGAACTATAGACGCCAGTAATGCGAGTGCGTCCTACAGGCACAGGCACGCTCCCTGCTCCTCACCCACACGCGGGTTCTCTGTGTCACTGCCATTGCCCTCATGTGACACTTGGTCGCATGGACGACTGGTACATTTTGAGCCTTTTTTGAGCCTGGCCCAAAACAACATTTTTTTGGTTCTTTCGGTAAAGTCACGTAGAAGGGAAGCAATAAAATAATAAAAATAAAACATAATAAAATAGAATAGTATTATTTTAAGCAATAAAATAATACATAATAAAATACAATAATATTATTTTAAGCAATAAAATAATAAAAATAAAACATAATAAAATAAAATAATATTATTTTATTTTATTATGTTTTATTTTTATTATTTCCCTTCTACGTGACTTTACCGAAAGAACCAAGAAGATGGATCCCTGCAGTCACGAAAGCTTTAAATCGAAAAAAAACAAAACATTGTTTCTTCGAGTGCAGATGGGTCTCAGTCTGCTACTGACCTCACCCTGGGGTTTGCTGTCTGGGTTCGATCCGAACGGTCTGGGAATTTGTCACCTGTCTTTGAAAGCGTAGCTGAAATTGATTTGAACCACCGAGATCTGGTTATCGGTATTGTCTTGAATAGTTTTTATATAAAAAATAAAAATTCAACAAGAGCCCGTCACAGAGCACGAGGGAGGGCGAGAGAGAGGGAGGGGGTACAGGTGTTCCACGGACGATAATACAAAGGCCCGGGCAAGAGAGAGAGGGGGGGGGGGGCAGGTGGGTGGGCTGACTGCTCTACTGACGTACTGGGGACAACGGTTCGGGTAACGTGGTCTTTTTAAGGGAGGGGGGTGAGAATTGTGTTGAACGTTCTTACACTCTGTTCTGCTGTAACGCGTGTTGTTTTCGTGACGGGAATTCAATACAACGAGATTCATGTATTGGGGAACTTACATCCATATAAAGCGGATGCGAATTGGATAGAACGCAGATGCAAAGTGGATATAACGAGATCGAGTGAACAGAACCACGTAGCGTCGCACGAAGCGTTGGGATGCTGCTGGATGCTTCTAGATCCGCTACCCACGCGCCCTCAGTCTTTGTCCAGCCTGCGGACGCATCTCGCGTGTGATCGCGGACTCTGCCTTTACCCTGTATCATAGATCAGTTCTTCTCGCGCGATGTTTCTCTAACGCGTTGTTCGTCAGGAATGCCACTACCGCGTTTTCGTAGAACGACAGCGTGGAGGCAGCGCACGCGGTGGCACGCTTTGGCCCAACGAGACGAATCCTTCATTCAGACATCGTCAAAGTAAACCGTCTTCCAGTCGATCCTAAACAAGTAAACCCGTAAAAACAAAGTTTTTCACTCTAAATCCTTTATATGCGTGGCGGCTAGAGTCCTCTCGTCCTCTGGCTTGAGATGGCTGCCACCTATGGGTCAGATGATTGTCTGCCAGTATTAAGCAATTGGTAATTAAATATTTAATTTGTTTTCCCTAAACAGTGTAAAATTTTGGAAATTATTTTTCACGAAAATTAATTGTCACGCACAACGAGTCTGTGTGGAAAATGTCAGCTCGATTGGATCACGGGAAGTGGGTTAAAAAACGAGCGAAAGATTTGCACGGTCCTAAGCAAGCAAGCGAACTTAATATAAAGGATTTAAAAAATATATTCGCCTGTGGAGGACGCGGGGATCGATCCCGCGACCTTTGGCATGGGAAGCGAGGGCGCTACCAACTGCGCTACTCCGCCACGGCCCGTGGAGGGGTTACGCTCTGGGCTCTTATACTGTGACGTTCAGCCAAAGCGATGAATGAGTTCTATTTGAATATATGTAAAATACATTTTTTTTTGCCTAAAAAGTGTAAAATTTTGGGAATTTTTTTTCACGAACATTAATTGTCTGGCACAACGAGTCTGTGTGGAAAATGTCAGCTCGATTGGATCACGGGAAGTGGGTTAAAAAACGACCGAAAGATTTGCACGGTCGTAAGCAAGCACGCAAGCGAACTTAATATAAAGGATTTAAAAAGGAGCGTGTAGATAGTTTTAAAATATAAGTTTTTGAATTTTTTATGATAGAATATAGTCTGGTCATCGGTATGAGATAGCGATACCAAGTTTGCAGTCGATATCATATTGGGAAGTGTGTAAAATTTGAGCTACAAGATGTCTTTTTTGAGGAATTTTGATTTAAAGCTTTCGTGACTGCAGGGATTCATCTTCTTGGTTCTTTCGGTAAAGCCATTACGTAGAAGGGAAATAATAAAGTAATAAAAATAAAACATCATGAAATAATATTTATGTAAAAATATAATATAATAATAAAATATCTTAATATATTATATTATTTTATTATGTTTTATTTTTAAGGGAAATAATAAAACAATAAAAATAAAACATCATAAAATAATTCTCACGAAGTTTCAGACGCTGTCTTTCCGACAGACCTGTTCTTCACCTGAGGACGGCTGCTTGCGTTGTGGCCGAAACGTCGTGAGAATTGTATTTTATGATGTTTTATTTTTATTATTTTATTATTTCCCTTCTACGTATTTTATAATAAAATAGTATTTTATAATATTTAAATTTTTTTATTTATTATTTCCCTTCTAACGTATTTTATAATAAAATAGTATTTTATAATATAAAAATTTTATTATTTTATTATTTCCCTTCTACGTATTTTATAATATTTAATTTTTATTATTTTATTATTTCCCTTCTACGTATTTTATAATATTTTTATTTTTTTATTTTATGATTTCCCTTCTACGTATTGTATAATAAAATTTTATTTTATTATGTTTTTTTTCCTTATTTTATTATTTCCCTTCTACGTGACTTTACCGAAAGAACCAAGAAGACAGACGAAGTGAGTTAAATAAAATCTTGGTAATAAAAACGACGTTTCGGACCCAAAAAAAGCGGCCATCTTCAGGTGATAAATATTGCTTTTCTGTTGTGGCTTTAAGCAATTTATAAATAACACTTTTTACCCAGCAAACAAAAATTGTGTTACATAGTGTAATTAGTCGGCAGCGTTGTCGGGTTATATTAGCATGAATGAAACAAACATATAGCATTAAATAATCATCATTATCATTATAATATTAATAACGTAATATGGTCATTATGATAAGGTATCGAATTTAACTAATATATAACATTAAATGATAATCATTAGAATCATCTTACTATAATATTACTATAGTAATAATATACACCATTTAATTATCATAATTATAATCGTAATAATTACTTTAATAATATTATATCAATAACATGAAAGTTTGCATTAGGGAGAGTGGGGGAGGGGGTGGGGGGGGGAGAGGGGGGGAGTCCCTTATCCGCTCCACGATTTACAAACGCCTCTTCTCACCACCGCCGGCTAAAGCAGACTAGCGAATACACAGCCAATCCGCGCGGGGGATCCTCGTCACGTGCCCCGCCGCCGACCAATCAGCGCCAGGATCAGCTCACCCGTCCACAAGCTTGGAGCCCGCCGAAGATTTTAAACGGGCGGAGAGAAATTTTTTGGGATTTTTAAATAAAGAGATGATTCCAATCCTCGCCGCGTTCTTCACGTAAGCGGAGGTGCGGGACCAGCATTAGACGCGAGCTTAATGAGGCTCGAGACCCACTGAGAGGTGAGCGGCTTTAAACGACGGTGCAGAAGCTAGGCCTCGCGCGGCCTCGACTAGTTTCCTAGCGGAGCCTGCGGCGGCAAGGCCTCGGTTGTGTGCGGCGAGTTTAGTTTTCTATTTCTTAACGGTTTTATTTTTGAACGGATTTCCTTTTTGAACGGTTTTAGTTCTTGAACGGTTTTAGTTAAATTGTTAAAGGTCGCTTTGGTGACGCGTGTCCTACGGGCAGCGTGAGTCTGGTGTTTGTTTGTGGTGCAGTGTTTTGAGTGTGGTAAGTGTTGAGTCTGATGCTGTGTTGAGTCTATGGTGCAGTGTTGTTAGTATTATCGGTATTGCTGAGTCTATGGGTAGTGTTGTTAGTATTATCGGTATTGTTGAGTCTATGGGTAGTGTTAAGTCTATGGGCAGTGTTGAGTCTATGGGTAGTGTTGAGTCTATGGGTAGTGTTGAGTCTATGGGCAGTGTTGAGTCTATGGGGCAGTGTTGAGTCTATGGGGCAGTGTTGAGTCTATGGTGCAGTGTTGAGTCTATGGTGCAGTGTTGAGTATATGGTACAGTGCTGAGTCTATGGTGCAGTGCTGAGTCTATGGTGCAGTGCTGAGTCTATGGGTAGTGTTGAGTCTATGGGCAGTGTTGAGTCTATGGTGCAGTGTTGAGTCTATGGTGCAGTGTTGAGTCTATGGTGCAGTGTTGAGTCTATGGTGCAGTGTTGAGTATATGGTGCAGTGCTGAGTCTATGGTGCAGTGCTGAGTCTATGGTGCAGTGCTGAGTCTATGGTGCAGTGCTGAGTCTATGGTGCAGTGTTGAGTCTATGGGCAGTGTTGAGTCTATGGTGCAGTGCTGAGTCTATGGTGCAGTGCTGAGTCTATGGTGCAGTGCTGAGTCTATGGTGCAGTGCTGAGTCTATGGTGCAGTGCTGAGTCTATGGTGCAGTGCTGAGTCTATGGTGCAGTGCTGAGTCTATGGGCAGTGCTGAGTCTATGGTGCAGTGTTGAGTCTATGGGCAGTGTTGAGTCTATGGTGCAGTGCTGAGTCTATGGTGCAGTGCTGAGTCTATGGTGCAGTGCTGAGTCTATGGTGCAGTGCTGAGTCTATGGTGCAGTGCTGAGTCTATGGTGCAGTGCTGAGTCTATGGTGCAGTGCTGAGTCTATGGGCAGTGTTGAGTCTATGGGTAGTGTTGAGTCTATGGGGCAGTGTTGAGTCTATGGGTAGTGTTGAGTCTATGGTGCAGTGTTGAGTATATGGTGCAGTGCTGAGTCTATGGTGCAGTGCTGAGTCTATGGTGCAGTGCTGAGTCTATGGTGCAGTGCTGAGTCTATGGTGCAGTGTTGAGTCTATGGGCAGTGTTGAGTCTATGGTGCAGTGCTGAGTCTATGGTGCAGTGCTGAGTCTATGGTGCAGTGCTGAGTCTATGGTGCAGTGCTGAGTCTATGGTGCAGTGCTGAGTCTATGGTGCAGTGCTGAGTCTATGGTGCAGTGCTGAGTCTATGGGCAGTGCTGAGTCTATGGTGCAGTGTTGAGTCTATGGGCAGTGTTGAGTCTATGGTGCAGTGCTGAGTCTATGGTGCAGTGCTGAGTCTATGGTGCAGTGCTGAGTCTATGGTGCAGTGCTGAGTCTATGGTGCAGTGCTGAGTCTATGGTGCAGTGCTGAGTCTATGGTGCAGTGCTGAGTCTATGGGCAGTGTTGAGTCTATGGGTAGTGTTGAGTCTATGTTTTTTGTTTGTTGCGGTTGCACCCGATTCAAGAGCCGAATGGCTCACAGGGCTACGTACCTAACGCGTGCAACTTTGAACTCTGAGGTGCAGGGCTACGATGAGCGCGGGCGGAGGGGGTGACAGCGTTGCTCCGGCCGCAGACGAGAAGGGGGACGAGGAAGTGGAGGAGGAAGAGAGAACGGTGGAACAACAACAACAACAGCAGCAGCAGTTACAGGAGCAACAGCAGCAGCAGCAGTTACAGGAGCAATAGCAGCAGCAGCAGTTACAGGAGCAACAGCAGCAGCAGCAGTTACAGGAGCAACAGCAGCAACAGCAGCAACTGCAGGTCAAGCAGCAACAGCAGCAGCTGCAAGTAGGACAGCAGGCACAGCAGCAACAGCAGGAAGTTAAGCAGCAGCAGGTGAAGGAAATACAGCTGCAGGCACAGCTGCAGCAGCAGCAACAGCAGCAGCAGCAGCAAGTTCAACAGCAGCAGGGGAAGGAAATACAGCAGCAGGCACCGCTGCAACAGCAGCCAAAGCAACAGCAGCAGCTGCAGCAGGTTAAGCAAATACAGCAGCCACAGCAACTGCTGCTGCAGCCGCAAGCTAGGCAGCAGCAGCAGCTACAACAGCTGGTGAAACAGCAGCAGCAGCAAGCCATCATGAGCAAGGAACTAACACAAGCAGGGGCACAACAACAGAAGCAGCAGCAGCAGCCGCAGCAGGCGGTCGTGCAGCCCGCGCAGCTGTTGCAACAGCAGCTGCAACAGCAGCAACAACAACAGCAGCTGCAGCAACAACAGCTGCAGCAGCAGATACAGCAGCAGCAGACAGCCCGCAAGTCTCCATTGCAGCAGCAGCAGCCGCAGCAGCAGCCCCAACTGCTGCAGCAACGGCCACAGCAACCTACCAGCTTCACGGTGCAGCAGTATGTTGTGGGGCCACAACAGGGTCTCCAGCAACAGCTCGCCAAGCCCGCCCTTCAGAAACTGATGCAGCAGCAGCAGCAACAGCAGCAGCTGCTGTCGCCGCATGCGGTGTTGAAGCAGAGCCTGCAGCAGCAGCAGCAGGTAATGACTCAGCAGCAGCAGAAGGTGGTACTCCAACACGTAGCGCAGCAGCGGCAGCAGCAGCTTCCGCAGAAGATATTGAAACAGGTGGCGCAACAGGGCACGCAGCAGCAGTTGGTACAGCACAAGCAGCAGCAGCAGCAGCAGCAGCTCATGCAACAGCAGGTGCTGCTGCAGCAGCAGCAGTTTATGTTTCAGCAGCAGCAGCAGCAAGTTCTTTTACAGCCGCAGCAGCAGCAGCAACAGCAGCAGCAGCAGCAAGTCTCCGCACCGTGCGCTGTTCACCAAAGGTTCAAACAGGTGCCCTGCACGTCGTTCATACAGGTACGGCTGCAACGTCGCACGGACGTTGGCGCTACGTGGAGGGCTGTTACGTGTGTGCGTGTGTGTGTGCGTGAGTGTGTGTGTGTGCGTGAGTGTGTGTGTGTGCGTGAGTGTGTGTGTGAGAGTGTGTGTGTGTGCGTGAGTGTGTGCCTGTGTGTGTGTGCGTGAGTGTGCGTGAGTGAGTGTGTGTGTGCGTGCGTGTGTGAGTATGTGTGAGTGTGCGTGAGTGTGTGTGAGTGCGTGTGTGTGAGTGAGTGTGCGTGAGTGTGTGCGCGTGAGTGTGTGCGCGTGAGTGTGAGTGTGTGCGTGTGAGTGTGTGAGTGTGTGCGTGTGAGTGTGTGCGTGTGAGTGTGTGCGTGTGAGTGTGTGCGTGCGTGAGTGTGTGTGCGTGAGTGTGTGCGCGTGAGTGTGTGCGCGTGAGTGTGTGCGCGTGAGTGTGTGCGCGTGAGTGTGAGTGTGTGCGCGTGAGTGTGTGCGCGTGAGTGTGAGTGTGTGCGTGTGAGTGTGTGAGTATGCGTGAGTGTGTGCGTGAGTGTGTGTGTGTGCGTGAGTGTGCGTGAGTGTGTGCGAGTGTGCATGTGTGTGTGTACAGGTGTGTGTGTACAGGTGTGTGTCTGTGTGTGTACAGGTGTGTGTCTGTGTGGGGAGCGGTAGTGTAGCGGTTAGCGCGCTGCGCTATGAACCTGGCGACCCGGGTTCGATTCCCGCTCACGGCACAACACCAGTGACGATTATCTGAACCGGTCCTGGGCCTCCCCTAGGTCGACTCAGCCTTAAATGAGTACCTGGTGCGGTGTGTAAACATCGCCACTGGGGAGACAAAGGCGGTCGGGCGTGGTGCTGGCCACCCACCCCCTCGTGTACCGTTGTGGCCTTCATAGGTGCTCGCTAACAGCACTTGCCCCTACAGTCTATTAAGGCTATACGGGGATCTTTGTCTTTGTCTGTGTGTGTACAGGTGTGTGTGTGTACAGGTGTGTGTCTGTGTGTGTACAGGTGTGTGTGTGTGTGTACAGGTGTGTGTCTGTGTGTGTACAGGTGTGTGTCTGTGTGTGTACAGGTGTGTGTCTGTGTGTGTACAGGTGTGTGTCTGTGTGTGTACAGGTGTGTGTCTGTGTGTGTACAGGTGTGTGTCTGTGTGTGTGTGTACAGGTGTGTGTCTTGGTGTGTACAGGTGTGTGTGTGTCCAGGTGTGTGTCTGTGTGTGTACAGGGTGTGTGTACAGGTGTGTGTCTGTGTGTGTACAGGTGTGTGTGTGTACAGGTGTGTGTCTGTGTGTGTACAGGTGTGTGTGTGTGTGTGTACAGGTGTGTGTGTGTGTGTACAGGTGTGTGTGTACAGGTGTGTGTGTGTGTGTGTGTACAGGTGTGTGTGTGTACAGGTGTGTGTGTGTACAGGTGTGTGTGTGTACAGGTGTGTGTCTGTGTGTGTACAGGTGTGTCTGTGTGTGTACAGGTGTGTGTCTGTGTGTGTACAGGTGTGTGTCTGTGTGTGTACAGGTGTGTGTGTGTGTGTACAGGTGTGTGTGTGTACAGGTGTGTGTCTGTGTGTGTACAGGTGTGTGTGTACACGTGTGTGTCTGTGTGTGTCTGTGTGTGTACAGTGTGTTTGTGTACAGGTGTGTGTGTGTGTACAGGTGTGTGTGTGTACAGGTGTGTGTGTGTACAGGTGTGTGTGTGTGTGTACAGGTGTGTGTGTGTGTACAGGTGTGTGTGTGTGTACAGGTGTGTGTGTGTGTGTACAGGTGTGTGTGTGTTACAGGTGTGTGTGTGTACAGGTGTGTGTCTGTGTGTACAGGTGTGTGTCTGTGTGTGTGTACAGGTGTGGTGTGTGTACAGGTGTGTGTCTGTGTGTGTACAGGTGTGTGTCTGTGTGTGTACAGGTGTGTGTCAGGTGTGTTGTGTACTGTGTGTTTACAGGTGTGTGTGTGTGTACAGGTGTGTGTGTGTGTACAGGTGTGTGTCTGTGTGTGTACAGGTGTGTGTGTGTACAGGTGTGTGTTGTGTACAGGTGTGTGTGTGTACAGGTGTGTGTCTGTGTGTGTACAGGTGTGTGTCTGTGTACAGGTGTGTGTCTGTGTGTGTACAGGTGTGTGTCTGTGTGTGTACAGGTGTGTGTCTGTGTGTGTACAGGTGTGTGTCTGTGTGTGTACAGGTGTGTGGTCTGTGTGTGTACAGGTGTGTGTCTGTGTGTGTACAGGTGTGTGTGGTGTACAGGTGTGTGTCTGTGTGTGTACAGGTGGTGTGTCTGTGTGTGTACAGGTGTGTGGTCTGTGTGTGTATGACTGGGGTGCGGTGGTGTAGTGGTTAGCGCTACGCTGCGCTATGAACCCGGCGACCCGGGTTCGATTCCCGCTCACGGCCAACACCAACAGTGACGATTATCTGAACTGGTCCCGGGCCTCACCTAGGTCGACTCGGCCTCAAATGAGTACCTGGTGCGGTGTGTAAACATCGCCACTGGGGAGACAAAGGCGGCCGGGCGTAGTGCTGGCCACCCACCCCCTCGTGTGCCGTGCCGGCCTTCATAGGTGCTCGCTAACGGCACTTGCCCCTACAGTCTGTTAAGGCTACACGGGGGATCTTTGTCTTGATGGTGTGTTGGACCCAGAGTCGGCTCCGGTTTGACAGCAGAGGTCTTACTCCGAATCAGTCGAGCGGCGTGATCTGTTTACCTTGGTGATCAATGCTGCTGCTGATGGTGATGATGATGACGGTGATGATGACGGTGATGATGACGGTGATGATGATGACGGTGATGATGATGACGGTGATGATGATGACGGTGATGATGATGACGGTGATGATGACGTTGACGATGATGACAATGGCGATGGTGTTGATGATGGTGGTGATGATGGTGATGATGGTGATGATGCTGATGATGGTGATGATGATGGTGGTGATGATGGTGATGATGATGACAATGGCGGTGGTGATGACAATGGTGATGGTGATGACGACGATGATGATGGTGATGGTGATGATGATGGTGATGATAATGGTGTTGATGATGACAATGGTGATGGTGACGACGACGACAATGACGATGACGATGATGACGACGACGACGACGATGATGACAGAGTGTCGCGGCCGCTACGGCGATCAATTCCGCCGCTGGCGACAGTAACCATGACAGGCGTGCTCCGTACCCCCACAGCTCTCCGCTGCTCCGGTCAGCCTCCAGAGGGTCCTGTCATCCGCCACCACGGCCGCCACGGCCGCCACCACCACCACGTTGGCAGCTTCGCGATCAACAGCAGCAGCCACCACCAACCCGACCCCTTCCATCGCCACCACCACCACCACCAGCGGCGTTAGCCCCGGCATTCAGCAGCAGCAACAGCAGCAGCAGGAGCAGCTGCAGCTGCTGCAGCAGCAGGAGCAGCTGCAGCTGCTGCAGCAACAGCAGCAGCAGCAGCAGTTTGTATTGCCAAGCACCGTCACGCTGCAGCAAGAAGCGCCGGCTCCGGTTCTCGGCAGCGCCGCTGGAAGCATCGGAAGCGCCGCTGGAAGCGCCGTGGGAAGCATCGAAAGCATCGGAAGCATCGGAAGCATCGGAAGCATCGGAAGCATCGGAAGCGCCGCTGGAAGCGCCGTGGGAAGCATCGAAAGCATCGGAAGCGCCGCTGGGATCACCACGGGAAGCATCGGAAGCGCCGCTGGAAGCGCCGTGGGAAGCATCGGAAGCATCGAAAGCATCGGAAGCGCCGCTGGGATCACCGCGGGAAGCGCTTCTCCCGGTGGGGCGTCGCTAGCCGCTACCGGGAGTTTGCCGGGAGCGCCGCGTGAGCGCCGTTTGCCCGCGGCTCTCCCCGGAGGGACGGTGCGCCACTTGGGGCCCGGCGCTGGCGGCGCTCGCCCCGGCAGCGGCGTTAGTATCGCTGGCGTCTCTCCGCAGCTCAGCAGCCTGACTCGGGGGCAGCTGCTGCCGCAGCATGTCGGCGGTGGTGGTGGTGGTGGTGGTGGTGGTGGTGGGTGGTGGTGGTGGTGCCCTGCTGCTGCTGCTGCGTCTGCGCTGCAGCGTGGCGAAGGTGCGGCGTGCGCAGCTGGAAGGACTTGGAGGGCGACACCGCCGCCTGCTGCGGGAGGCGCTCTTCCTCAAGGGGGGCGGCAACATGGTGGACTTCCCGGCCTTCTGTCGGAGGCCCGGACACTCGGCCGTCGCCACGCTGCAGCAGAACGAGTTGGAGAGCGGTGGCGGTGATGGTGGTGGCGGTGGTGGTGGTGGTGGTGCGGTGGTGGTGGTGGAGAAGCAGCAGCAGGGTGGAGGTGGTGGTGGTGGAGTCCTGGTGGACGAGTCGAGGTGCCGCGTGATTAACGACGAGGTGAGAGTGGTGAGGGAGGGGGGGTGAGTGTGGTGAAGGTGAGTGGGGGGTGAGCGGTGGTGGGGGGATGGGTGAGTGTGGTGAGCTAGCGGTGAGCGAGTGGTGAAGGTGAGTGGGGGGGTGGGTGGTGGTGGCGGGGTGGGTGAGAGCGGTGAGCGAGTGGTGGTGAAGGGGGGAGATGGGTGAGTGTTGTGAGGGTGAGTGGGGGGTGAGTGAGGGGGGGTGAGTGAGGGTGAGTGGGGTGGGTGAGTGGTGAGGGGGGGTGAGTGGTGAGGATGAGTGGGGGGGTGGGTGAGTGGTGAGGGTGAGTGGGGGGGGGAGGCAGAGGTCGCAAACGGGTTTTGATTCCTTACCCGTACCCGGCCGCACCAGGGTCGCAAACAGGTACCCGTACCCGGCCGGGTACGGGTAGCCGGGTATCGGTTAGGGTACGGGTATCAGGTAGGGTACGGGTATCAGGTAGGGTACGGGTAGGGTACGGGTATCAGGTAGGGTACGGGTAGGGTATCGGGTAGGGTACGGGTATCGGGTATCGGGTACCCGGTTGCGACCTCTGGGGGGGGGGGTGAGTGGTGAGGCTGAGTGAGTGGTGAGGGTGAGTGAGTGGTGAGTGAGTGGTGAGTGAGTGGTGAGTGAGTGAGTGTTGAGTGAGTGAGTGAGTGGTGAGTGAGTGAGTGAGTGGTGAGTGAGTGGTGAGTGAGTGGTGAGTGAGTGGTGACCTCCCCCGACAGGTGAAGGTGGTGAGTGAGTGGTGAGTGAGTGGTGAGTGAGTGGTGAGTGAGTGAGTGGTGAGTGAGTGGTGAGTGAGTGGTGAGTGAGTGAGTGGTGAGGGTGAGTGAGTGGTGAGTGAGTGGTGAGTGAGTGGTGACCTCCCCCGACAGGTGAAGGTGGTGAGTGGTGGGTGAGTGAGTGGTGAGTGAGTGGTGAGTGAGTGAGTGAGTGGTGAGGGTGAGTGAGTGGTGAGTGGTGAGTGAGTGGTGAGTGAGTGGTGACCTCCCCCGACAGGTGAAGGTGGTGAGTGGTGAGTGAGTGAGTGGTGAGTGAGTGGTGAGTGGTGAGTGAGTGGTGAGTGCGTGGTGAGGGTGAGTGAGTGGTGAGTGGGTGAGGGGGGGGGGGAGTGAGTGGTGACCTCCCCCGAACAGGGTGAAGGGGGTGAGTGGTGGGTGAGTGAGTGGGCTGATGGTGAGTGAGTGGTGAGTGAGTGTGAGTGCAGTGGTGAGTGAGTGGTGCTTGAGTGGAGTGAGTGGGTGAGTGAGTGGTGGGTGAGTGGTGAGTGGTGGAGTGGAGTGGATGGCAGTGGTGGGTGAGTTGTGAGTGGTGGGTGAGTGGAGATGGTGAAGTGAGTGGTGAGTGGAGTGAGTGAGTGGGGTGTGAAGTGGTGAAGGTGAGTGGTGGGTGAGTGAGTGGGAGTGATGGTGAGTGGAGTGAGTGTGATTGAGTGGGTGAGTGGAGTGGTGAGTGAGGGAGTGGGTGAGTGGAGTGAGTGAGTGGTGAGTGAGGTGGTGGGTGAGTGGGGAGTGGTGGGGGTGAGTGAGTGGTGATTGAGTGAGTGAGTGTGAGTGAGGGTGAGTGAAGTGAGTGGTGAGTGAGTGAGTGGTGAGTGGGTGAGTGTGGGTGAGTGAGTGGTGAGTGAGTGGTGGGTGAGTGAAGTGGTGAGTGAGTGGTGAGTGGTGAGTGAGTGAGTCGTGAGTGAGTGGTGAGTGATTGAGTGGTGAGTGGTGAGTGAGTGAGTGGTGAGTGAGTGAGTGAGTGGTGAGTGAGTGAGTGGTGAGTGAGTGGTGAGTGAGTGAGTGAGTGGTGAGTAGTGAGTGAGTGGTGAGTGAGTGGTGAGTGAGTGAGTGAGTGGTGAGTGAGTGAGTGGTGAGTGAGTGGTGAGTGAGTGGTGACCTCCCCCAACAGTTGAAGGTGGTGAGTGGTGGGTGAGTGGTGAGTGAGTGAGTGGTGAGTGAGTGAGTGGTGAGTGAGTGAGTGGTGAGTGAGTGGTGAGTTAGTGGTGACCTCCCCCGACAGGGGAAGGTGGTGAGTGAGTGGTGAGTGAGTGAGTGAGTGGTGAGTGAGTGAGTGGTGAGTGAGTGAGTGGTGAGTGATGGTGAGTGCGTGAGTGAGTGAGTGGTGAGGGGTGAGTGAGTGGTGAGTGGAGTGGTTTCTGTGGGTCTGGGTGTCTGTGGGTCTCTATGGGTCTGGGTGTCTGTGGGTCTCTGTGGGTCTGGGTGTCTGTGGGTCTGGGTGTCTGTGTGGGTCTGGGTGTCTGTGTGGGTCTGGGTGTCTTGTGGGTTTCTGTGGGTCTGGGTTTTTGTGGTTCTCTGTGGGTCTGTGGGTCTCTGCGGGTTTCTGTGGGTATCTGGGTGTCTGTGGATCTCTGGATCTGGGTGTCTCTATGGGTCTCTATGGGTCTGGGTCTCTATGGGCTCTATGAGTCTGGGTGTCTCTGTGGGTCTCTGGGTCTGGGTTTCTCTATGGGTCTCTATGGGTCTGGGTGTCTCTATGGGTCTCTATGGGTCTGGGTGTCTCTATGGGTCTCTATGGGTCTGGGTGTCTCTATGGGTCTCTATGGGTCTGGGTGTCTCTATGGGTCTCTATGGGTCTGGGTGTCTCTATGGGTCTCTATGGGTCTGGGTGTCTCTATGGGTCTCTGGGTCTCTATGGGTCTGGTTGTCTGTATGGGTCTCTGGGTCTGGGTGTCTCTGTGGGTCTCTATGGGTCTGTGGGTCTGGGTGTCTGTGGGTGTCTCTATGGGTCTCTGGGTATGGGTGTCTCTGTGGGTCTCTATGGGTCTGGGTGTCTCTATGGGTCTCTGTGGGTCTCTATGGGTCTGGGTGTCTCTGTGGGTCTCTGTAGGTCTCTATGGGTCTGTGGGTCTGGGTGTCTGTGGGTGTCTCTATGGGTCTCTATGGGTCTCTGGGTCTGTGGGTCTCTGTGGGTCTGGGTGTCTGTGGGTGTCTATGGGTCTCTATGGGTCTGGGTGTCTCTATGGGTCTCTATGGATCTCTATGGGTCTGGGTGTCTCTGTGGGTCTCTATGGGTCTGTGGGACTCTGTGGGTCTCTATGGGTCTGGGTGTCTCTGTGGGTCTCTCTGGGTCTGGGTGTCTCTGTGGGTCTCTATGGGTCTCTATGGGTCTGGGTGTCTCTGTGGGTCTCTATGGTCTCTATGGTCTGGGTGTCTCTGTGGGTCTCTATGGGTCTCTATGGGTCTCTATGGGTCTGGGTGTCTCTGTGGGTGTCTCTATGGGTCTGGGTGTCTCTGTGGGTCTCTATGGGTCTGGGTGTCTCTGTGGGTCTCTGTGGGTGTCTCTGTGGGTCTCTATGGGTCTGGGTGTCTCTGTGGGTCTCTGTGGGTGTCTCTGTGGGTCTCTATGGGTCTGGGTGTCTCTATGGGTCTGGGTGTCTCTGTGGGTCTCTATGGGTCTGGGTGTCTCTGTGGGTCTCTATGGGTCTCTATGGGTCTGAGTGTTTCTGTGGGTCTCTATGGGTCTGGGTGTCTCTGTGGGTCTCTATGGGTCTCTATGGGTCTCTATGGGTCTGGGTGTCTCTGTGGGTCTCTATGGGTCTCTATGGGTCTGAGTGTCTCTGTGGGTCTCTATGGGTCTGGGTGTCTCTGTGGGTCTCTATGGGTCTCTATGGGTCTCTATGGGTCTCTATGGGTCTGGGTGTCTCTATGGGTGTCTCTATGGGTGTCTCTGTGGGTCTCTGTGGGTCTCTATGGGTCTGGGTGTCTCTGGGTGTCTCTGGGTGTCTCTGGGTCCGTACGTAACCAACCGTGATGGCCGGATGTGACCTCTGTGTGGGTCACCGGTGAGTGACCTCTGCCCCCCCCCCCTTCCCCCGTAGCAGGAGGGTGCCGTGCTGAGGATCTGCCAATGCACCGCTCCCACAACTGTTCCCTCCTCCTCATCATTATCATCAGCGCCACCATCATCAGCAGCACCACCACCATCATCAGCAGCAGCACCACCATCAGCATCATCAGCACCACCATCATCATCAGCATCATCAGCACCACCATCAGCATCAGCAGCAGCACCACCACCATCATCATCAGCACCACCACCATCAGCACCAGCATCATCAGCACCACCAGCATCAGCAGCACCACCATCATCAGCAACACTACCAGCACCATCATCAGCAGCACCATCAGCAGCACCACCACCATCAGCACCACCACCACCACCATCATCAGCACCACCACCACCATCAGCATTACCACCACCATCATCATCAGCGTCGCTGTCATCAGCAGTGGCGATGGCGTCGTCGTCGGTGACGTCATCGACGGTCGCCCCAGCTGCCGTCTCCCATGGCAACGGCGTCGGCGGTCGCCGTGACGACCGCATCGCCTGCCGCTGGTGGTGGCAGCGGCCAACGTGAGTGGTGGTGACGGTGGTGGTGGTGACGGTGGTGACGGTGGTGACGGTGGTGGTGGTGGTGACGGTGGTGGTGGTGGTGGTGACGGTGGTGGTGGTGACGGTGGTGGTGGTGACGGTGGTGGTGACGGTGGTGGTGGTGGTGGTGACGGTGGTGGTGGTGACGGTGGTGGTGGTGACGGTGGTGGTGACGGTGGTGGTGGTGGTGGTGACGGTGGTGGTGGTGACGGTGGTGACGGTGGTGGTGGTGGTGACGGTGGTGGTGGTGGTGGTGACGGTGGTGGTGGTGGGTGGTGACGGTGGTGGTGGTGACGGTGGTGGTGACGTGGTGGTGGTGACGGTGACGATGGTGATGGTGGTGGTGATGATGGTGGTGGTGGTGGTGATGATGGTGATGATGGTGATGATGGTGGTGATGGTGATGATGGTGGTGATGGTGATGATGGTGATGATGGTAATGATGGTGATGATGGTGGTGATGGTGATGATGGTGGTGATGGTGATGATGGTGGTGATGGTGATGATGGTGGTGATGGTGATGATGGTGATGATGGTGATGATGGTGATGATGGTGGTGATGGTGATGATGGTGGTGATGGTGATGATGGTGATGATGGTGATGATGGTGGTGGTGGTGGTGATGATGGTGATGATGGTGATGACGGTGGTGATGGTGATGATGGTGATGAAGGCTGTGGTCAGGACGATGATCACTACGATGCCATAACCCATGACCCCCCCCTCTCCTCCCCCACTACCGCCCCCCCCACCACTCCCCCCCCCCGTCTCCCACGACCTCCGACCCCACCGCCCCCACCCGCACTTCCTGCAGCGGCGGCCGTGGCGTCCCGAGCGCTCCTCCTCCTCCTCCACGCTGCTGCTCCTGCTGCCGCTGCTCCTGCTGCTGCTGCTCCTGCTGCTGCTACAGCTGCTGCTGCTGCTCCTGCTGCTGCTGCTACAGCTGCTGCTGCTCCTGCTGCTGCTGCTCCTGCTGCTGCTACAGCTGCTGCTGCTGCTGCTCCTGCTGCTGCTACAGCTGCTGCTGCTGCTGCTCCTGTTCCTGCTGCTGCTGCTGCTGCTGCTGCTGCTCCTGCTGCTGCTACAGCTGCTGCTACAGCTGCTACAGCTGCTGCTACAGCTGCTGCTGCTCCTGCTGCTGCTACAGCTGCTGCTACTGCTGCTCCTGCTGCTGCTACAGCTGCTGCTACAGCTGCTACTGCTGCTGCTGCTGCTCCTGCTGCTGCTACAGCTGCTGCTACTGCTGCTGCTACTGCTGCTCCTGCTGCTGCTACTGCTGCTGCTGCTCCTACTGCTGCTACAGCTGCTGCTACAGCTGCTACAGCTGCTGCTACAGCTGCTGCTGCTGCTGCTGCTGCTCCTGCTGCTGCTACAGCTGCTGCTACAGCTGCTGCTACAGCTGCTGCTGCTGCTGCTGCTGCTCCTGCTGCTGCTACAGCTGCTGCTACTGCTGCTCCTGCTGCTGCTACAGCTGCTACAGCTGCTGCTACAGCTGCTGCTGCTGCTGCTCCTGCTGCTGCTACAGCTGCTACAGCTGCTGCTACAGCTGCTGCTGCTGCTGCTGCTGCTCCTGCTGCTGCTACAGCTGCTGCTGCTGCTGCTCCTGCTGCTGCTGCTGCTCCTGATGCTGCTGCTCCTGCTGCTGCTGCTGCTGCTGCTGCTGCAGCTGCTGCTGCTGCTGCTGCTGCTGCTACTGCTCCTGCTGCTGCTGCTACTGCTGCTGCTGCTCCTGTTCCTGCTGCTGCTGCTGCTCCTGCTGCTGCTGCTGCTGCCGCTGATGCTGCTGCTCCTGCTGCTGCTGCTCCTGCTGCTGCTGCTTCTGCTGCTGCTGCTACTGCTGCTGCTGCTCCTGATGCTGCTGCTCCTGTTCCTGCTGCTGCTCCTGCTGCTGCTCCTGCTGCTCCTGCTGCTCCTGCTGCTGCTCCTGCTGCTGCTGCTGCTCCTGCTGCTGCTGCTGCTGACGCTGCCCAGCTGACGGCTCCGCTGCTACCGGCACCACCACGACCGCTGACGGTGACAACCCCGTTGACAACCCCGGTGACGACGCCGGTGACAACGCCGGTGACAACGCCTCCTCGGCTGTCCGGGGATGAGGAAGTGAAGACGGATGATGACCCTGCAAGACAGGCACAGATGGTGCGGGGAGACACGGAGAGACGCGGGGAGACACGGAGACACGGGGAGATACGGGGAGATGTGGGGAGACACTGGGAGACACGGGGAGAGACGGGGAGAGATGGGGAGACACGGAGAGACACTGGGAGACACTGGGAGACACGGGGAGACGCGGGGAGACACGGGGAGAGATGGGGGGACACGGAGAGACACGGGGGGACACGGGGAGACACGGGGGAGACGTGAAGATGGAGGATGACCCTGCAAGACAGGCACAGATGGTGCGGAGAGACACGGAGAGACGCGGGGCGACACGGAGACACAGGGGGAGAGACGGGAAGAGATGGGGGGACACGGAGAGACACGGGGGGACACGGGGGAGACGTGGGGAGACACTGAGACACGGGGAGAGACGGGGAGAGACGGGGAGAGATGGGGGGACACGGGCGAGACACCGGGGAGACGTGAAGATGGAGGATGACCCTGCAAGATAGGCACAGATGGTGCGGGGAGACACGGGACACGGGGAGATGTGGGGAGACACTGGGAGACACTGGGAGATGCGGGGGAGACATGGGGAGACACGGGGACTGGGGAGACACGGGGAGACGCGGGGAGACGCGGAGAGACACGGGGAGACACGGGGAGACATGGGGGAGGCACGGGGGAGACACGGGGGAGACACGGGGGAGACACGGGGGAGTACATAGGTGGTGCTACTCAATGTTACTAACAGCACTTGACCCTACAGTCTATAAAGGTGTGTGTGTGTGTGCGGTGTGTGTGCGGTTTGTGTGCGTGTGTCTGCGTGTGTCTGCGTGTGTGCGCGCGTGTGGGCGTGTGTCTGTGCGTGTGTGTTACTGTGTGTGTCACTGTGTGTGTCACTGTGTGTGTCACTGTGTGTGTCACTGTGTGTGTGTGTGTCACTGTGTGTGTCACTGTGTGTGTCACTGTGTGTGTCACTGTGTGTGTGTGTAGGAGGCGAGCGTGATGGAGCGAGTGGAGGGGGGCCTGCGCAAGGCGGGTGGTGGGCACCGCAGCGTTGCCCGCTGGCCGACCCCCGTCCACGCGCACATGGGACTGCCTGCTGCAGG